AAAAAAAAAAAAAAAAAAAAAAAACACACTTATTCGCGAGGAGAGAATCGACCATTCAGCAGGGCGACCTCTGCAAAGAGGTAGAAAATATGTTAAAAAAAAGCGGTAAAGTAATAACTGTGAGTGTGAAGTTTGGGATTGAAAGGACTGACATTGCTGCGCCCGTCTTATATCTGAAAATCGCAGTAATATCACTAGTATAATATTCTCGTGTCGATTTTCCTGACTCTGTTGACACTCCTTCCCCCGTGGCGTGACCTCGCATCATCAATACACTTTGCAGTTGCTGCCACTTAATAAGATAAATAAAATAAAATAAGATATTTTTATGTTAAAAGAAGAAAAGAAGAATAAAATGTTGAAAATTTTTTAACGGGAAGAAATGTTTCGGTTCATTAAGTCGTATACATTTCTTACCATTGTCACAATTGGACCTCGTCAGTACAACGATTGTGGTAGTATGAATTTAATTAAAATTTAAATTGTTTTGTTAGAATAGGTTAGATTAAGTAATAATATAAATTAAATGGCATCACCTGTCACTTAAGTTGCATCACCTGTCACTCAACCAGCTAGCTTTCTTCGCTTCCCTTCTGTTGAACACAGAGAAGTGCCCCGCATTCCACATTTCCTATGCTCCTGTACAAGCCTCTTGATGACTGCTATGGCCCTCGGCGAGTGGAATTGTGCTGCAAATGCATGCAAAGATTTTTTTTTCTACGTCCGGTGGACCCATACAGCTAGGCTACCGCGCTGGTTTCAACGGTCGCAAAAACAATGGTTACACAAAAATTGATGTATTTTCGGGTTTTTCTTTTTCACTTATTGTTTTGCAGTATTTTGCACTGTTGCTGGACAATATTCATACAGATTTTCTACATGCGAGATTTGGAAAAATTGCTTGGCTGGGCCCGCATATCATTGCTTTATATGGTCTCCGGAATTGGTGGATATTTGGCGAGTGCGATTTTTGTACCCTACAAGGTATGAAAATATTTTTATTATGCTGTAAGTAAGGGCACCGCATTGGGACAGTCTTGACATGAGGCTTGGATGAGCAGCTGTTTCACTGTTCTGTTTTTCTCGCTGTTTTCCTCATTTTTCTCGCCTCCGAGTTTATTCCACTCACCGAGCTCTGCAGAGACAGTCCAGTTATTCCTTTAGTTTCCAATTATTCCTTTAATTTTGCTTAGGTCCTGGCATCCGATAATCTGCCCTCTCCATCTATTCTCATTTGGCTCTTCTCCAAATCAACTTTTTTTTTGAATCAAAAAAAGTAGTGTTTGAATGATTGTTTTCAGCCAGAAGTTGGCCCCGCGGGTTCGCATGTTGGAATGTTTGCAGCTATGTATGTTGATGTTGCATATAGTTGGTAAGCATCTTTGTCATCAGTTTTTTTTTTCTTGAATTTCAAATTTCCTATTCATTTTTTAAAGAAACTTTCACTGTTTTTTTTAAAGAAACTTATACGAGTTGTAAGCATGCGAAGAGCTTGTGACTCTGTCTTTGCAAAAATTGGAAAGCTGAGCTTTTGGCCTGTGTTGCGTGAGTCAAAAATGGCTTTGGGAGCAAGAATTGAGGTTGTTTTGCTGTTTCCCACTTCATGTCCTTGAGTTAAAACTCATGGTTAGACAGTGAGCCAAAATTTGAAATCATTTCCCTGAACAAGCACGCTGTGTACTAAATCAGATAAAAATTAATCCGGCGATTGTTTACACTAAAAAGTCTTCCCCGAAACCCTTGTTTTTCTCAGCGCCCTTCAAAAGTTGCATAGAAGCAAGCTGATGTCTGTTCTGACTTACCAGAACACGCCATTTGTCCCAATTTACGATTGAATCGAGTGAATTTCCCTATGATGAAGTTGAATTCTCGACCTTCAACACGAGAGCAGTACTGATCGTCGCTTTAGATGTTGAATAAATGTGCAAAAAATTTGCAGAATTAGTCAAAAATTTTTTTGCAGCTAGGTCAATGCAAAAACATTTTTGAACTTTGATATCATTATAAAATATTGTTTAAGCACATCGCGCCACTTAACAAATTTGAAATTGTTTTCCTTGATTTTGCAGGAATCTTTTGGAAAGACCATGGCATGCAATAATGCAACTAAGCTTATTTATGTTAATACTTTTTTCGATTGGCACATTGCCGTGGATCGATAACTGGGCTCATTTATTTGGCTTTATTTTTGGACTCTTAATATCTTTGGGTTAGGTGTTTGATAATTTCTTTTTTTTTAAAAAAAAGGCTTTTTAAAATTTTCTTAATTGCGCGTCTGTGCTACAACATTTTCCATCGTCCGAAGGGCCCTCATTTTTTTGCTAGCTTTTTTTTAGCGAAAATAATTAAGCAATTCACAGGGGTGTCCCTTTGTTGCGTCTTTTATTCTAAACGTTTTTTTAAGCTTAAACATGGAACAATTGGTAATTCACAGGAATGTGGTCCTTTAGTTATGGAACGGGTAACTTTTCTATTTACTTTGAGCAGTGCTGCTTTGCCTTGTGAACAGCGATCTGCTTGCAATCGTGAGGGGATTACCTCTGATAGAAGCAATT